AAAGAGCCAACAGTTCTTCAGTACGTTTTTAACCGTTGTACACGTATACGCTCCGTCTCTAAAAATTTTAGTGAGTTTAAAATTTTTACAAGTGTTTAAACATTTTATTATTTTTCTTTTCGTTTTCATTTTAAATATGTTTAAATGCGAGCAGTGCCCGTCGGTTTTCACACTTAAAGGTAATTTGACAGCTCACCAAAAAAAACATGACGGAGTTCGTTTTCCATGTACTGTTTGTGCGTCAACATTCACTCTCAAAACCAACTTGAACAAACACATGAAAAATATGCATGGTATTGTACCAGCTCATCGTCAACCCTATGCGCAGCTCAACCAACCGGTTGCATCGATCGATGTTCAACCAGTACGACAGAGTGTCATAAAGTTCGCGCCACGCATTGCTCCACAGGGAGGCATACAGATTGGCCCTCAAATTTTCGTCCCCGATATCCCGGCTGGTGGCTCGAACATGGTATCCGAGGACGAGATTTGCATGGCAGCTATGGACGAATTTGAAAAAGTTCAAGACGATAATACAGGTTAGTTTTATTTTTAATATTATAGATGGGGTATAATTTTCAAAGATTCGTATAAATCAGAAATTTTATTTATATGCTGGAGGGTTGCACCGGTTGTCAGACCGTTTGGTAGACTTAATTTTAAACGATACATAACATTTTTATACTATTATAAAAAAAAAAAAAAAAAAATTAGTTTCTCTTTAGATTTATTAGGGGTTTTTTTAATTTTATTTTTAAGACACTTATACAACTACGGGCGTAAACGGTAAACGAGTTTCCACCGCCAACACTACTTCGGGTGCTAGAGCGAAAAAGACGCGGATGAGTCTCGTGCAGTCACCAGGCTTCGTCGAAATTTCGTCGTCGGGTGGTAGGAAAATTGTATGGTACTATGCTCGAAATATCAATAAAAATGAAAAATATACGGACTTTCTCAACTCACACGAAGCAGCTCTGTGCAAATTATTGGAAACGCGTGTCCAGGAGGGCCCTATCAAATTTAATTTGAAACTTGAAGGGACTTATAGCCGACCTAACGTTGAAAACTCGTCAGAGAATAGGGCGTTCAAGACCTCAGCAGTAGAAGTTTTTTTGGAAACCGATGTCAAACAGGTCGTGGAGGCGTCATATATAAAGTTGTTGGGTGAAGAAGAGGTATACCGGGGTAGAGGTAGCGGTTTCAGACTGGACACTATCGATGGGTTATTGTTGGCTATATATAAATATACACCTATGAGTGCCTCGTCGTATATCGAGTTACCTAAATCTATTGAGGGGAGACGTGCTACCATCAACCCCAAAAACAATGACCAACAGTGTTTTAAGTGGGCCATTCTCGCGAGACATGTGACAGGACTTGCCCCGGGGCGTGTCGGGGGAAATTATAGACAGCAAGAGGGGAGGTATAATTTTGATGGTATCACCTTCCCGACACCTATGGCGGATATAAAGATTTTTGAGAAGAATAACCGGGGTGTCTCTGTAAACGTGTATGGTCTCAGTCTTAAAACCAAAAATCAAAAATTTCCAAAATACGAGGTGTTTCCGTTACGCGTTGTTGACGATGAGAAACCAAAACATTTTGATCTGTTGTTCATCAGTAACCCTAGCGGGGCACATTATGTATATATATCGAATTTCTCGAGGCTCGTATCCCCGCAGAAGAATAGACATAACGGTCAACAATTTTTTTGTAAACGGTGTTTTATCAGTTTTGATAAACAAAGCTTAAAATATAAACTGAACGGAGAGGCGGCCCTAGAAAAACATAAGTTAATTTGCGGTTCACATAAACCCATCTTACCTGAGATGTCTAAAGCGGGGAATGTACAAAGTTTGAGGCCTGGAGGAGCACACAGAGACACCCCATTGTAATATACGCGGACTTCGAGGCCTTGCTAGTCAAGGTTGACGAGAAGAAAGGTGTAAACACGGCAATTGTACAGAGACATGAGGCTATGAGTTATGGGTTCGTAGTTAAGGCGAGTGATGATGTCCCACTCGAGCTATTAATCGAGCACGGTATAACTACAGACCCGGTAATATACAGAGGCAGCGAGGATCGACCGGACGTGGCTTCTCATTTTGTCGAGGAAATAGTTGAAATTAGTAGAAAGATAGAGACCTTTTTAAAGACGAATACCCCCATAATTATGAGTGATGAGCAAGAAAAAACACATCAAGAGTGTACAACATGTAATTTATGTAAGTGCAATATAGTGGGGGTTGATAAAGTTAGAGATCATGATCATTTATCGGGCAAATTTAGGCAAACTCTATGTTCTAAGTGTAATTTAGCATTACAGCAACCTAAATTTGTACCGGTATTTTTCCATAATCTGTCAAACTACGACTCACACTATATAATTTCTCAACTGGGTTTCGACACAAACTCGATTACCGTTATACCGAACAGTGAGGAGAAATATATATCTTTCTCTAAATATATAAGTAGTAAGTTCGCTGTTCGGTTTATCGATACGTTCCGGTTTATGGCGACAAGCTTGGAGAAATTAGCCGCGAACATGATTACACCATTATTCGAAAATTTCCGTGAGACAGCAAAACATTTTGCCATGGAAAAATTGCCACTTGTAACTCGTAAGGGGGTATACCCTTACGAGTATACAGATAGTTGGGGTAAATTGAATATCGATAGAATACCGCGGAAGAGGGACTTTTATAGCACGTTGACGGAGTCAGGGATAACGGAGTACGATTATGAACATGCGAAGGAGGTATATTATCAACTTTCTAGATGTGTTTAGATGTATTAAAATTTTTTTTTTTTTTTTTTGTATATTCCAGGTATGGACTCAGTTTGAATGTAAGACACTGGGGGATTACAGTGATCTTTATTTGAAAGTCGACGTGTTGTTATTGACTGATGTATTTGAAAACTTTAGAGATTTGTGTATGAAGACATATAATCTAGACGCGGCTCATTATTTTACTGCCCCAGGTTTAAGTTTTGATGCCTGTCTAAAGTATACTGAGAAGAAGTTGGAGCTGTTGACCGATTACGATATGTTATTAATGTTTGAGAAAGGTTAGTACATCATTAATATTTTATATTGTATATATCATTCATATTTTTACATTATAGGTATTCGTGGTGGATTGGTTCAGGCGAGTATGAGGTATGCTAAGGCAAATAACAAAAAGGTACCGAGGTACGACAAGTCAAAGTCGAAATCGTGGTTAGTGTATCAGGATTGTAAGTATATTTTATTTATATATATATATATATATATATATTTTAAACCTTATAACTAAACCCTAGGTAACAATTTGTATGGATGGGCCATGTCGCAGTACATGCCCTATGGTGGTTTTAAATGGGTTAAGCCAGAGTTGGAAGGTTTGAATGATTTAACTCCAACCTCGGATATAGGTAGAGTCTATGAGGTTGACATTTCATACCCGTGTAAACTTCACGACAGGCATAATGACTTACCATTCTTACCCGAAAACAGTATACCTAAAGGATCCAAGGTACGAAAACTCATGGCGACTTTCGAGGATAAAAAAAAAGCGGGCAGTGGGTACCGCTCTGCTGTACATTAGCGGATGGGGTGAACCTCGAACTAGGGTAGATTAAATTTGAATGCAATGATAGGTATATCATTGTATACGAAAAACGATTCTGAACGGAGATGATTTGTCAGTCTAGGATATATTATATTTAAATATTGTCATACATTCTATTTTGAGACAAATATTTTATTTTTTAATTAGGACGCATTTGCAAAAGCCATGGTTAATCAATTAATTATTAATTTTTATGAATTATACCTACAAAATAGTTTGTAAATATTCATGGTTTTGACGAATTGTTGTCAATATTTGAACTTCAAATGCTAATAAAAAAATTGTGCCTATGTATTCTTAAAATTTTTTAATCACTTTAAGAATTACTTATAAGGAACATTGTATTAAATGTTTAAGTATTTTGATTGGGCCAAAAAAAAATGTTATCGACACTTCAAAAAAAAATTTTCAGAAAAATTGAAAATTTCAGTTGTCTATAAATAACTCAAAAAAAGTCAAAATATTTTTAAAATTAAATCATAAAAAGAAAATGCAAATCTAAATAACTGGTAAAATTTTCAAGTATCAACGACTTATACTTTTTGAATATTAACAAATATTTAAAATCGTTTGAGGATAAATCGTTATCGTTACGCTATTTCGTAAAAATTTAAAATTCAAACGCACTTAAAATTTTTCCTATAATTATGCTTCATGTTTTTACAATAGCTACTTGAAAGAAAACTTAGGGAAAACATAGTGTAATATTTTTAATCCTTAGTTATAAACACAAAAAATTTTATGATTTTTCAACTTCAAAATTACTTGCAAATTTTCGCGTTTTCGATAGATTTCGTAAATATTTGAACTATAAACGTTTATAAAAAAAAATTGTGATTAACGATCTTTAATTTTTTTTAGTTACAATAAGAACAACTCATAAGGAACCTTGTATTAAATTTTTAAAATTTTTTGGTCGCCCAACATTTTTTTTATCAAAACTTCAAAAAAAAATTCTCATAAAAATTGATATTTTCAGTGGTCTATAAATAACTCAAAAAGAGTCAAAATTTATTGAAAATTAAACTGTATATAGATAACACTAAAATAAACATTTGGTGATAATTTCAAGTATTTACAGTGATTAGTTTTTGAATTAAAACCATATAAAAAAATCGATTTGATCGAAAACTGGTTTTGAATAAAAATCCCCGTTTTTCCGTCATTTTTTTTTTTTGTTTTTCTCGATGTTTTTGAAAACTGTTAAAAAATGTTTACTTTTTACCTCTATAATGCACCAAGGTTATTCACTTTGCCATCGGAAACCACCCCCGAAGTTTGAAATTGAAGCATTATTTCGACTACCTATGCTGTACACAGACAAAAAAAAAAAAAACACACATCATTATAAAATCAATACATTCATCACTCCGTTCAGAATCTAAAATCCTAATAGTACCTACTATAAGTTTTATTTCAATCTCGTTGGCTGTGAATTAAAAATATTATTTTATTATACATAGAACAAAATTTAAAATTTAAATACAAAGCTAGGCATAAGATGGTATTATAAATTAAATATCACAGTTCACCATCAAAGACTTTGATCAGCACTATACCGTCAAACACAAATATAAATTAATTATATTATAATTTAATATATATTTATTGACATGAAATTAAAACATTTTACCTTAAATAAATTGCTGGTTTAAAGCATTAAATAATAAATTGTACATATTTCTTAGCAACCACTTACATACATGTTTATTGAACTTGATGATTTTTTATACTAATTGTTTATATTATTCACCAAAAGTTCTTACTAAAGCTGTTTTTTTATAAGGTAATACAATTCTCTTACTCTTTTTTTTTTGTTTTTGCTTTATGATATGTCAAACGTTAGTTAATTCAAATGATTAGTAAATAATAGATTTTTCTATTAAATCTTTCATAATTTTTCATAATTTTATTTTTATCAAAATATTATATTATGTTACATTTTTTATTGAATTGTTTTCTTTTAAATCGAAATTAATGTTATAAATATTTCTTTTTAAATGCTACCAACACTTTTGATTAAAAAAAAAAAAAATTAATCATTCTCATAGTCTTTAAAATAACAATTTTTCCAAAAAAATACTCTAAATTTAAATACATAAATAACCGGCGCGAACTATATATAAATGCACTGATTAAGATCTATTAAGTTTTGAATAGTGTTACATCAGTATTTCAACTGTTACATATTAGTGATGATATATTTTTTTATTTGCTTTTAATTTTTATCATATTCATGCAATGAAAGTTATAATTTTCAAATTTATTTTATTAGAATCATTAAAAATGGATAACGTATCTCGAGGTAGAAGTAGAATGAACTATGCACGTCAACAAAACATTCAAGGAACAAAAATGCAAAAAATATTTTCAAAACCACCAAAATGTAAAAATAATAATTATAAAACAGATCTTAGTCATAACCAAAAGGCAAGAACAAAAATGTTTAACATTGCATGTTGTATACATTCATTAATCTACAATATTTTAATTTTAAGGTACAACAAATTACAGATTTGTGTGCAGGTAATATTATGTTTCAAGTTTGAATTAAGGTTATATAGTCTAAATAACATAGCTAACTTTTGTCTTATAAATTTATTTTCAAATTGTTAATTTTGATTAACATTAACTAAGTTATTATAGTTATATACGCCTATTAGGTGATATCATATAACAAATTTTATTAATTTAATTAGTTACATCAAAAACAAATTCATAAGTAATAAATAATACATTTTCTTAATAGATAATTTAGTAATAAACAATGAAGCCAAACACACAAATAAACCAAGCATGCAATTTGATACTATAAAACAAGGTAAAGTATAAGCTATTCTATAAAATATATTGATTTTTTTTTTCAGAAATCTACGAAATATAACCAATTATTCTTATTGTGACTCATATTTTTATTTAATTGTTTGTTTTTTGAATTTTTGCCAGAAATCTTTATAAATTATAACAATTTTAAATTAATAACAACAATTTATTTAGCATATATTTGCTTATTTGATGATTGTTGCATACCTATTTTTGATTATTTTGACAAATTTAATATTAATTGCATATTTAGGTGAAATTTATTCATAATATTTTTTTACTTTATATGTTAGAAAAAAATTGATGAGGCTGTACAATAATAAAACTAAAAAAAATTGAATAATAGGTAATTTTAGGTGACTACAAATCTATCTATTGTTTGTCGGTTAACTTATAAAAATGTTATGGTTTTTGCTCTGCGTTGAGTATCTAATTAATTTGATATATTTAATTTAAATAGTATATATAGGCCCCTAATAAATTAATGATTATTAAATAAATGGTTTACAAGAATACAATTTGTATTACATGTTTGTCATATTTATTCATAAAAGTTACTTTATTTTTACACAATAACTCAGTATTCAAATTAATATCAAGTAATTTAAATTATACTATGTAATGATATATAATAATAATAAACTATTTATAAAACTATTTTTATGTAATAAATGTAATGAATAAAATAACTACAATTACTTGCACTATTATAAACAGATCAGGTAAAATTAGTGGTGCCTTTATGCATGGTATTTGATAAAATAAAAAAAAACCATTAAAATAATAAAAATAGAAATAAAATTAATTATTTGAGTATTGTGATTATTACCGAAATATACACTAAAATTATTATAATTTTTATTAGGAACTCTAGACTAATTAATTAAATTGCTACCAAAATGTATAAATGTATTCCTATTCCTTCATTGGCTGTGTACAAATTAGGTAGTAGTATTTATTTACTTTTAATTTAAGATTATAATAGGAAAAATTTAAAACAATATATTTTGTAAATTGATAGAACTTATATTGTGAATAATATGTATTATATATTTCAGGAACTTCTGGACAACCAGTAAAACTATTAGCTAATTATTTTCCCATTAAAACTTATACGAATTGGTGTTTGTACCAATATCGAGTTGATTTCAATCCTGAAGAAGATAGAATCGGTATTAAAAGAGGGTTATTAGCTCAGCATCGAGAACGTTTAGGCGGATATTTATTTGATGGAACGATGTTATTTTCTGGAAAGCGATTTGATCCATCGGTAAGTTTTTCTATGAAGTGAATAATTTATCAAATGTATTTTAATAAAATGTTATCGTTTTGTTATGATTTACATTTATTTTTTCAATCAAAAACTGTTATGAGGAGGATTGCATAGTAATTGGTTGATTTAATAATAATCGCTAAATTATTATTTCATTAAATATTCAATGAATAGCTTTGCAACCTGGCATTAAGATGTTAAAAATGAATTTTAATATTTTGGTTTAGACTTTCGAACTTACATGTAAGCGTCTATCAGACGATAAAATTGTCATAATTACAATAAAATTCACAAATGTAATAGAAACTGGTGATTATGCTAATATTCAAGTTTTCAACTTGCTCTTGCGCAATTGTTTAAGACATCTCAAACTAACGATGATTGGAAGAAATTTTTATGATCCAAATGCAAAAGTAAATTTTTAATTATCTCATTACTTTATTTATTACTTGGCCTACCCTTATAAATTATAATACACTTCTTTTAGATTGATATTATTCAACATAAACTTCAACTTTGGCCGGGCTATGTTACAACCATTGGCCGGTTTGAAGAAAACATTTTATTATGCGTTGAAATATCTACAAAAGTCATGCGTCAAGAAACTGTATACGATTTTTTTAAAGAGTGTGCTGCTAATAAGGACGGTGATTGGATGGTGAATTATTTTAATTTCAGTAAAATTTACCATTGGTAAACAGTTAAATGATTAATATATTTTATTAATTAGATACGCTTTAAAAGTAATATTATTGGTACTACAGTGATGACCAAATACAACAACAAAACATACAAAATTGATGACATAGATGAAAATTCTGAACCTAATTCTACATTTAGTAAAAAGGATGGATCAAAAATTACTTTTGTGCAATATTACAAAGAAGTATTTAACTTATAACAGTAATACTCATTATGATAGATTTTTGATATCAATGTGTTAATAATTGTATTAGAAATGGAACATGACAATTCGTGGTGGAAGGCAACCAATGTTGGTTTCCAAAAATAAAAAGTCAATAAGAAAGTTTGGAGTTGAAGATACATTGGTTTATCTAATTCCAGAATTGTGCATTATGACTGGTATCACTGATGTTATGAGGTTGTCAGATTAAAAAAAAAATGTATTAATGTAATCTGAGTTAACTATCTTCTTTTAAATTATAGAAGAAATTTTAAGCTTATGCAAGATATAGCTATGTATACACGTACAAATCCTAAAGAACGCATAACAAGATTAACACATTTTGCAAATCGTCTTCTTTCTACACCTGAGGTAATTTGTTTTATTTTTTTTATATAGCTTGTTTATACTTGAATCAATATTTTTTTTTTTATTTAGTCTGTAACTGAACTGAAAAAGTGGAATCTTACATTAAGTAACAGGCTAATTGAAATTACTGGTCGTACATTACCACCAGAACCAATTCGAAGTCGAACTAAAGAATACAATGGTGGTGTAGAAGCTGATTGGACAAGGAATTTACGCACATTACCAATGTTCACCTCTGCAACTATAAAACATTGGGTTATTTTAGCACCTAAGGACAGTATTCTAAAAGTTGAAGCTTTTGCTCAAAGTCTTTCAATGGCTAGTAAAGGAATGGGATTTATACTGCCCAGGAGTGTTATGTAAATTTTTGTTATATTATTAATTTATTAAAAGCTAATTAATATAATTTTTAGATTTCCCATGGCTGATGGAAAATCAGATACATTTTTAAATATCTTGGAAAAAGTAATTAATGAGTCAAATCCATCATTAATTCTATGTGTTATCCCATCCCCACGTAGTGATATTTATAGTATGATTAAACGAAAATTATGTATTGATAGAGCAGGTAAATTTCTAATATATTAAATATTATTGATTTTACCAAATTAATTATATTTATCTTAAATATTCTTTTTCAGTGCCATCACAAGTAGTACTGTTAAAAAATGTACAAAAGAACAATATGTCTATAAATACAAAAATTGCAATTCAACTCAATTGTAAACTTGGAGGTGCCCCTTGGCTAGTTACTATTCCCAAAAAAGTAACTGTTTTTGTATTAAGTATACACATTCGATTGAAATTAATTTCACCTTTTGTTTTAGGGGATGATGATCGTTGGTTTTGATGTGACTCATGACATTCAACGAAAAAATATATCATTTGGAGCTTTAGTATCAACCATGAATGATGCTCATACAAGTTACTTCAGTTGTGTGGAAGCTCATGCAAGTGGTGAGGAACTTTCTGTTCATTTTGCAACTGGCATAAGTAGTAAGTTATTGTAGATTATATGAGTTAACTTATGTATACTGTGCTAAAAAATGACTTAATATTAAATTAAGTCAAGTTAATTCGATAACCATGGAAAAAAAAAACACTTTAATTTATAAATATTATTTCTAGTTGTTTTTTATGAATAGTATCAAATGTGTAATACAACTTATAACACTTCACCTATAAACTTTTTAGTGTGAGAATTACTTGCTAATCAACTACTCTGTAATAGTATAGGATGGAGTTAAATTATAATTATTATAAGTCTTTCTATTCAAAAATAATTTTAAGTGAATGTTAAAAACGACAAATAATTATATTTATTGAATTACAATACACAATTTTAACATAATATGGGTTTATCTTATAATTTGGTATCCTTTTAAAAATGTTGCCTCTTTATTATTATTTTATAATTGTAGGATAAAAATAATAAATGTGCATTTATTTATTTAATTTATTTTTATTGTGTCTCAGAGGCATTAGCCAAGTATCGGAGTAAAAATAAAGCATTACCTACTTCCATTATTGTATACAGAGATGGTGTCGGAGAAGGCCAAATATCATATGTACAAAAAACAGAAATCAAACTTCTGAAAGTAGAATTGATTAAATTATTTTTAATTTAATACTATGATTTATTTTTTAAATTTTTTATTAGACAACTTGTGAACAATTTTACGGTGAAAGTTCTGTCCCATTTACATTTGTCATTGTAACTAAACGTATCAATACAAGATTTTTTGCTGTCAATAATAAAGGCTCTGAAAATCCTCCACCTGGTACAATTATTGATACTGTTGTCACAGACCCAACCAAGTAAGCTATTATAACTTTATGTATTCATTATGAGATTAAATCAGAATATCTTTATTCCTATTTTATGAATAGTTAATAGTTAAAAATGTATTACTTTTTTACTTAAGTTATTTAATAAAAGAATATGGTATGGTGATTAAGTATTATAAATTTTAGGTATGATTTCTTCTTGGTTTCACAAAATGTAAGACAGAGTACTGTAACTCCTACACATTATCAGGTAATTGAAGACACACTTAAACTTTCTCCTGATAGATTACAAAGACTTACATTCAAGTTGACTCATATGTACTACAATTGGTCGGTTAGTCTACGTTTTTATAAACTATTTTCTTATTATCTCTATCCATACATTTTTTTTTTAATTTTAGGGTACTATACGAGTTCCTGCTCCATGTCAGTTGGCTCATAAGTTGGCATTACTTACTGGCCAAAGTCTCAAACGTTCTCCCAACATTGGATTGGACGAATTGTTATACTTTCTTTAATTTTGTTTAGTTTTTTTATTGTCATTCACACATTATTTTCCATATATAATTATCTTGGTTTTTTATAAAGAAATATTTAAATTGTATTTTATTAATCTTTCAAAGATTTTGTTATTTTACTCAATACTCATAATAATTATGATTTAACATCTTAATATATATAAATTTCATGTCACAATGTTTGTCCTCAATGGACTCCTAAACCACTTAACCGATTCTGATGAAATTTTTACACCGCGTGTAATTTGGTCCAACTTAAAAGACAGGATATAGGGTATGGACCTAACTCCTGTGAGTTAGAGATTTAGAGACAAAAACCGAGTTACACCGGTGGCACCCTCTAGCAGATAAAAATAAAATATAAATAATAATACAAAAATCGATAATAGCAGGGCTTGAAATCGATTAATATCGATAAAAATCGAAAAAAAAAATATTATTTATTGCATACAAAAGTTACGTTACCATGGCCACAATAATTTCAATTTATTTTATTTTATTTATTTATTTATTTATTTATTTATGTGCTATGATAACATGCCACCGAAAAAATCTAACTTCAACAACGCGAGCAGTAAAGGGTCACGACGCAAACGTGTTGAAAGAGCTCAGCAATTACCAGAACAAATCGAAACAAGAAATGCAGCTCAAAGAATTAGGACTGCAGAAAGTCGTGCACGAGAAACTCAAGAACAGCGTGACGAACGTCTGCAACAGAATATTACGAGAACAAGAGCGGCACGAGAACGAAACATAGCTACAGTACGAGAAAGAGATCGACAAATATTGCAACTATTTTGACGACATGTTATCCCTCGCAAGCACAAACTTTGTGGGAAAAATATAAAAATTGTATGACAGAAGACATCTTGCACCGAATTAGACACATAAATCAATGCCAAATTAGAGATTATACACCAGAGATGTACAATGAAGCATTGGTCTTGATCGAGGATTTATGTGTTCTTAATTCAAAATTACCACTTAATCATTATGGTATGCCATCACCTAATCGTCCAGCCACCGACTTAGTCAATACCGATTTACAACGAGAAAATCAATATGACCATGGAAGTTTAGCAACAATTATCATGAACAGTGAACCATTACTGACAGCAGAACAAAAAATTATTTATGAACGGATTATGCTGGCTGTTGCTGCTGAACAAGACGGTTTTTTTTTCTTGGATGCACCCGGTGGAACCGGTAAGACATTTTTAATATCGTTGATTCTTGCCAAAATACGGTCGCAACAAAAAATCGCATTAGCTGTAGCATCGTCAGGCATTGCGGCTACTTTACTGGATGGTGGGCGAACAGCACATTCAACATTCAAGCTGCCATTGGACGTTCATAATAAACCAGATGCAATGTGTAACATCAAAAAGAATAGTGGAATAGCTGCAGTGTTGCGGAAGAGTTCTATAATAATTTGGGATGAGTACACAAAGGCACACAAATATTCACTTGAAGCACTAAACAGAACTATGCAAGATTTAAACAGCAATAATAAACTTTACGGTGGTGCTATCTTACTTTTGTCTGGTGACTTCCGGCAGACCTTACCGGTTATACCTCGCTCTACTTTCGCGGATGAGATTAATGCATGTTTGAAACAATCATTCTTATGGCGAAGTGTCGAAACACTTCGAATGACTATAAATATGCGAGTACAATTGCAAAATGATCCATCAGCACAATTATTTTCCGAACAACTATTAGATATTGGGAACGGTAAAATAGAACTGCAACCAAATACGCAATACATTAAACTACCAGACAATTTTTGCACTGTTGTTCAGGATAAAAATGAAATGATTCAGAGTATTTTCCCGGATATACAGAATAATTATTTGAATCATGAATGGCTTAGTCAACGGGCGATTTTGGCACCCAAAAACGTTGACGTTGACGAAATTAACTTCCAGAAACAACAGTTGTTACCAGGCGATCTGATGTCATTTAAATCAATCGATACTGTTGTTGACGAAAATGAAAGTGTAAATTTTCCGATTGAATTTTTAAATTCATTAGATATCCCTGGAATGCCACCACATAATCTTCGATTAAAGATTGGTTCCCCTATTATTCTCCTCCGTAATTTGAAGCTAACTCAGTTATGTAACGGTACGCGTTTAGTCATCAAAAAGATTACCGGAAACATTCTTGAAACAACCATTTTGTCTGGGAAGTTTAAAGGAAAAGTGGTCCTGCTGCCACGTATTCCGATGATACCATCAGATTCTACCATACCCTTCAAAAGGCTACAGTTTCCAATTCGTTTAGCTTTCGCCATGTCTATAAATAAATCTCAAGGTCAAACAATGTCCATTTGTGGTTTAGATTTGGAAAATCCATGTTTTTCTCATGGGCAACTATATGTTGCGTGTTCACGTGTTGGGAAACCGTCGAATCTATTTGTGTTAGCTAAAGATAGGTTAACCAAAAGCATTGTGCACCAATTGGTGTTAAATTAAATTGAAAAATTAAAAGTATTTATAATTTAAAAAATTAGATATTAACGTTTAAAAGTTTAAGACTGTCTGCTTAATATCAAGTGTAAGAACATTTAGCCACAGCAACGCGTGGCCGGGCAGCTAGTTTCTTATAAAAATTCATCAGTTATTAATTTAAAGTTATAAATTATTGATTTAATAATAATAAATATTTTTTGATTGGTTATATTGTTTTAGTGTTATATTTTAATTGTTTGTTTTTAGAATTTAAAATGTTATTGATATCACTCGTACTTAAAATATTATAAAATTTATTTCTTCAAGATTTTACCTTACACCTTTTTACATATACCTGAATATAACAAAATAATTGATTTACTGCCAGTTATTTTTCTACAATATATATTTTAGATCAAAATTTCAAAGAAGAAATGTATGTGTATTTGTTAATCAACTATTGAACAAAAGTTGAATTTAATATGAAAATTAACAAATCCACCTCTGTTCGATTTTTAAACGATGAAAATTATGTAAGAGTTTAATACCACCTAAATTATTTTAATATAATACTTAATCAACAGAATGGCTGTTCTCGAAAAATATTTTCCAACTTTATTCACATTGCATATGTTTATTAATCTTTATTTATTTATGTAGATCTTAAACAGAACATTTTTTTTCTTTGTAAGCCTTGATAATTAAAATTGAAAATTTAATTATTTTTAACAATTACAAAATAATTTGAGCATAGTTTTATAATTTTAGATTTAAAAGAAATAAACAAAAGTTGTTTAAAAATAATTGATTGTATTTATATAACTATCCAATTACATTAAAATTTGAAAAAACTTGTCAGAAATTAATTTTTATACTATATTTTTTTTAATTCTAATAAGAATAACTCTGGTTGATCGTAATATTGTCAAGCTTTTAGGAAGGTTATAACAATAATTGTTATCAATATAAATATTATGATAACCATCCAAAAAAGTAAAAAAAATTGCGAATTGAAAAAAGCGAAACTAAATTATAGCGAAAATAATGCATCGAACTTTAGGAGAAACTCTCGGTTTTATAGTGTAAATAGTCAACAGGGAATAGGGAAAAACTATAAATAATAATATTATAATCTTTATTAGTTTGTCAATATTATTGTGACTCGAAGTAATATCCGTTATCGTTTTTATCGTGAATATAGTGTACACTGTGTATATGAACCGTGTAGTATGAACTATGAAATATAAACATCAAATAGTTTTGTACGACGTTCGACGGCGTGATAATCAAGTGTCATGCTTATTATTCTATTTAAATAACATTTTTAAATTTTATTTTTGAATTATGGAATTAATTAAATCATCAAACATTATGGACATGTATCAATGTGTTGAAAAATCAGCAACATTTAGAGGACATTAAAGAAGAACGGTTCATTGCTGGTGCTGCAAAAAAATATTTAACAAAAATATAAAAATTGTTCAGAAAAAATACGTAACCTAATCTTATCTTACAACACTAACGAGGCAATATTAATTATTTCAGAGGTATCTATCGCATATAACTTAACCCTACAAATGTACTTAATACTATTATTTTGAAAACACTTTTCATTATATTTTTAAGCTAATAATAATGTTTTTTAACTATTTTGGATTTCGTAATAATGTAAACTTTGCTTTTATTTTTTTTCACTATTTTGATTTCACTTTTTCTTGTTGATATTATGGCCTTTAATCCTATATTATAAATACTATACACATTCTACTCTTGTTTAAAGGAATAGTATACATTATAGTATACAATTAGCGTTTTAAATTTGAGTATAATCATTTTTAAAACACTGATAGTTTGACACCTGATTATATAATGTCGACAAAATAATTAGTGAAAAATTTTTAATTATTTTCCTCGCGGGGGCGGCAATGTTGGTTGGCGGCGGCCAATTGATATGGAAGAGCGGGGTAGCGGGGGATATATCATATACGTCACGGATCGGGCGGCGGCTCGATGATGAGGTGATGAGGGAAGAGCGGGGTAGCGGGGGATATATCGTATACGTCACGGATCGGGCGGCGGCTCGATGATGAGGTGATGAGGGAAGAGCGGGGTAGCGGGGGATATATCGTATACGTCACGGATCGGACGGCGGCTCAGATGATGAGGTGATGAGGGAAGAGCGGGGTAGCGGGGGATGATCATAAGGATCATAAGGATCATAATGATCCCGCATCAGTACTCTCTATTTTATACTACTAATAGAATCAAAATACAATAATTCCAAATACATGGTGAATTTTTCAAGACTATAAGATATTTTTAAGATATAAGCTTTTAAAAATCAAATGGGAATGCATAATTCTTATTCAATAATAATTACGCGGAAAATTTTTTAAGCAATTACTAGCACAGGCAATAAGTTAAACGTTTCGCCTCTGCAATCCCATCACAAGTTACAATGTTATAATTATTATATCGATTGCAGTAGTTCGTAATGAGTAATACGCGTACGCATTAGATTAACCGAAAAGTGATGACAAGTGATTTTACAATTTTGTCGTTTGTTTAGATTTAGTTTTTCATGAATTAAGGTCTATTTCCGTGCTCGTGTTGGAGACATGTCATTTTTTAACCCGTCCGAGTAGCCCGGATTTTTATATTCATTCTACTCAGAGATCCGTCCAGATTTCAGACAGTCGGCGATTCTACGAGCTGTAATTGTCTTATCACTTATTAATTGTGATTAAGAATTGAAACCATGGGTACTTATATCGTTGTTTTCGTTGTATGTATAATTAATTTAAAGTCTTTCTAGGTATTAAAAATATTAATTATTAAATTAAATTTAAAGAATAATATACTTTTACGTTCTTGGTTAGACACGTATAATATAATTTAATATGTATAAGCCCTATGCAATTTGGATTCATCGTTCACACGTGTCCGATATGAAGAAAACACGTCCGGGAACTTGATAATAGAATTGTCACGGACTATATTTTTTTGACTTGTAATTGTGGGGCGACAATGCAAAACGTACTATTTGCATTTTTGTCAAAATGGTTATACATTGAATTATATATGTTTGAAATGAACGGCGGATGAAATTGGATCATCAGATTAGGTAAAACGTATGCCTTCCTATCTCAATAACCGTTTTTAAAATAGTAAATTGAGCAAAACTACTATTTGCACAATATACATTTTGATCAAACGAACTATTTACTGTTTGATGCAGAAACACCTTATTTGCTATAGATTCCTAAATAGTAAAAATTTGTCAAAACGTGCCTACATTCATATTTTCCAAACGTACTATTTATCCGTCATAATGCAAAATGTAATTATTTTCAATGTACACAGTATAGGACTAAAATGTATTGATGCTAAAACGTAGCTATTTACAAAACGACTGGTGTTTAAATTTGTTTTTATGCTATTTTATTAAATTATATAGTTTAATAGGATGATATACGTATTTTGTTTAATCATATTATCTACATAAATGCTATAATCATAAAAATCGTTTATAACTTTTGAAACATTATTATTATGGCGCTAAAAACTTAGTGATAGGTCTTAATCATGAAACTTATTTCATTAATTCATTTATGATAATACATATTCTATTTTAAAGTACCTTTTGCAGCTTGACTTATTTACTTGTAATGCTTTTATAATTATTATAATTTATTATAATTACCAATGAAAAGATAATAAATTGATGATGACAAGGCGGAAAACAAGGTAGGTCATACATCTAGTAAAACAATATATATTATTGTGGACTATTTAAAATACATGATAGAACTTTTAATATTTTGTATTAAAATATATTATACCTAACTTGTATTCCTTTCACCTATGATGCACCATCGGTTCTATATGTCATATATTTTCTTACAAATTTTAAATTGAATGGCAATATGAATAAATTAGTAAGCTGTAAGTAGTTATTACACTTAGTTGATCAAAGTATTTTAATTTCTTAATCATATAATTATATTAAATTTATATTTACGGTAAATGTAATTTGCGCAAATAGAATGTTTTGTAAAATATTGGTCAAACGTACTATTTTTGTTATCAAAGCAAAGTAGTACGTTTTGATCCACCAAATTTAAAAGTTATATTTAACAAAAATACATTTTTAAAATACTTTACCTGCAGAAATTTATATTTCATAGTTTTTGTATTCTGCTTAAATACTTTCAAATATATTCAAATATTACGAAGTACCGAACGGATTTATAAG